CTCGACGCAATCAACACGTGGTATCAGAGCACGGTCACCGTAGAACAAGGTCCAACGACCTCCGGTGCTAATCGAAATGGTGTCGGGTTCCAAGAACAATGCTCCACTCTATTTGGCTGACGGATTCTCCCAAAATCGGCCTCCCAGATTTGAAGGAGTTAATTATGGATATTGGAAAAATCGCATGGAATTATTTGTTGGATCTACAGATCCAAAACTCTGGGTTAGAGTCATTAAGGGTCCGTATGAGCTCAAGGAGGATCAAGAAAAATGGACATACGAGGACTTCGAGAAATTTCAGCAAAACTGCAAGGCAATTAATCTTATGTACTGCGCTCTCGGTCCAGAAGAATATCACAAAGTCGTTGGGTGCAAGACTGCTAAGGAAATCTGGGATAAACTCTAGGTTACTTATGAAGGTACCTCTCAAGTCAAAACTTCTCGAATTAATTCCTTAAAACAACAATTCGAGTTGTTCAAAATGGAAGAAGGAGAAACGATCTGGCAAATGTACGAGCGTTTCACAAACATTGTGAACAGCCTGGAGAATCTTGGGAAATCATATGAAAGTGGAGACCTTGTTAGAAAAATCTTATGGAGTCTCCCAGAGCAATGGACTCCAAAGGTAACTGCAATAGAGGAAGCTAAAGACCTAGAGAAGTTAGCTATAGATGAACTCATCGGGTCATTAGCAACTCATGAAGACAAGCTCAACAAGGGAAATCATGATAAAGGGAAAAAGGGGATAGCCTTCAAGGCTACCACATACAATGAAGACACAGAAGATCTCGATGATATGGAGGATGAAGAATTGGCTCTACTAAGCAAACAAATTAGTAGACTACTTCGAGTAAGAAGAGAAAAACGAAGAGGAAACTTCGTCAACAAGAATAGAGAAGTTGAGAAAGAAGGTGGTACATCAAAATACCCTCAATCAAGAACTTTCCACAAAAGCAGGATTGAACAACTTCAGCCGATCAAGGTTCAAAACACTACCGGTTGCTTTAGATGTGGAAAAACTGGGCATATCAAGGCTGAATGTCCTCTAGCAAGAAAAGAACGAGCCATGGTTTCAACATGGAGCTGTAGCGAAGAAGAAGATGAGGATGGAGAGGAAACAAGAGAAGAAAGCTACATGGCAATTGATGTTGAAGAGCCACCAGAAGGACATAACTCAAACGAGGCTTGTTTCCAAGTGAGCATGGAGGCAACTGAATGGATACTAGACAGTGGATGCTCACACCACATGACGGGAAATCGAAACCTATTCACCACACTCAAAGAAGGTAAAGGTGGTAAGGTATTTTTTGGTGACAATAATTCTGCCGACATAATAGGAAGAGGAATAGTTGGTTCTAATCCATGCATTGAAAATGTGATGTTAGTAAAAGGTCTTAAGCATAATCTGTTTTCTATTAGTCAAATGTGTGGCAAAGATAATAGGATAATTTTTGAACATGATTGTTGCTACATCGAGTCTTTAGTGGATAAGAAAGTGCTTTTCACCGGTAGACGTAAAAATAAGTTATATGTCATAAATCTAGATGATAAAGAAAGTTTTAAGGTAACCTGTCTAATGTCTCTAGAGAAAAATGATCAGATAGATTGGCATAGGAAGCTTGGTCACGTGAGTATAGGAATTCTGTCTAAACTAAGTGACCTTGAGCTAGTTAAAGGTCTTCCTAAGTTAAAAAGCAAGAAGGAATTCTTTTGTGATGCGTGTGCTAAAGGAAAGCATACAAGGTCTAGCTTCAAGAGTAAGACGGTAATATCCACAACAAGACCTCTTGAATTACTTCATCTTGATCTCTTCGGACCCACCAATGTGGTAAGCTATGGAGGTAAGTCTTATGCTATCGTAATAGTGGATGACTATTCTCGTTTCACTTGGGTATTGTTTCTAGCTAGCAAAAGTGAAGCTTTTCAAAATTTTGAGTCTCTAACTAGGAAATTGGAAAATGAAAAACAATCTAAGGTTGCTGGCATTAGAAGTGATCATGGTGGAGAATTTATCTCAGAAGAGTTTGAACTCTTCTGCAATAAGCTAGGGATAAGTCACAATTTTTCTGCTCCTCGAACTCCGCAACAAAATGGAGTGGTGGAAAGGAAAAATCGGACTTTGATTGACATAGCTCGAACAATGTTACATGACTATGGTTTACCTAAGTACTTCTGGGCCGAAGCCATAAATACTGCATGCTATATTACTAATCGAGCTTTGATCAGATCTGGAATTAAGAAGACTCCTTATGAGATTTGGAGAGGAAGAAAACCCAATCTGAGTTATTTTCATCCCTTTGGTTGCAAGTGCTTTGCACTAAATACCAAAGATCATCTTGGGAAGTTTGATGCCAAGTCCGATGAATGTGTGTTTTTAGGCTATTGTATGACTAGCAGAGCATATAGAATATTCAACAAAAGGACTCTCAAAGTGGAAGAGTCCATAAATGTGATATTTGATGAATCTGCTAATGAGTGTTCAGATGAGATAGATGAAGATGACTTTGGACTTGGTGGGAGCTTTGATCTACCAAGGACATCAAACACGGAGAAATCTGAACCCAGAACGAACATATCTGAGGACCAAGATAAAGCAGTAAGTACTACAAACTCTCCGATCGAGCAAGACCATGAAGTAAGACAACCTCCTCCTCATATTGCCAAACGCCATCCTTCTTCACTTATGATAGGAGGGTTTAATGAAGGTATGGTCACTCGCTCTAGAAATTCAATTGTGCATACTGCATTTGTGTCCTTGGTTGAACCTAAAAACGTGTTAGATGCCTTGAATGATGAAAACTGGAATGCTGCTATGAATGATGAAATGAGTCAGTTTGAACGAGCTAATGTGTGGGAGTTAGTACCTAGACCTCCTAATAGAGTTATTATCGGAACTAAGTGGATCTACAAGATCAAGTCAAATGAAAATGGGGTTGCTACTAGAAATAGGGCTAGGTTGGTAGCTAAAGGGTACAATCAAGAAGAGGGTATAGATTTTGATGAAACCTTTGCTCCGGTAGCTAGATTAGAGGCTATTAGAATGTTATGTGCGTTTGCTAGCTCTAAGGGTTTCAAACTTTTTCAAATGGACGTCAAAAGTGCCTTTCTAAATGGGATTTAAAAGAGGAAGTGTATGTGGAACAACCACCCGGTTTTGAAGACTTTAGATACCCAAACCATGTCTATAAATTAAAGAAGGCACTATATGGACTTAAACAAGCACCAAGAGCATGGTATGAAAAACTTAGTTCTTTTCTCTTTGGAGAAGGTTTTAAAAGAGGCTCAGTGGATAAAACTCTCTTTATAAAAAATAAAGGACAACATATGCTACTAGTTCAAATATATGTTGATGACATTATATTTGGATCTTCTAGCAAAGAGTTGTGCGAGTATTTTGAAAGTATCATGAAGAAAATTTTTGAAATGAGTGCCATGGGAGAATTAACATATTTTTAGGTTTGCAAATTAAACAAACAACTCGAGGTATTTTCATTAGTCAAACCAAGTACATTCAAAGTATGTCAAAAAATTTTGAATTTGGGAATTTAAAAACTGCAAATACACCTATGGCCTCTACAATTAAACTAGACAAGGATGAGTCGGGCAAGTCAATTGACGAGAAGTTCTATAGTGGAATGATTGGGTCGCTAATGTATCTCACTGCTAGTAGACCCGATATTCAATTCAGTGTGTGTCTATGTGCTAGATTCCAAAGTGCCCCTAAGAAAAGTCATCTGACTGCAGTCAAGAGAATCTTTCGTTAATTGGCCGGTACGATGGATCTAGGTCTATGGTATGATAGTGAGTCAAGTCTTGATTTGATTGGTTATAGTGACTCAGACTATGCTGGGTGCATAGTTGATCGTAAGAGTACTTCCTGGACATGTCAATTTCTCGGAAATTCTCTGGTGTCTTGGTTTAGTAAAAAACAAAGCTCTGTTGCTCTATCCACCGTCGAGGCTGAATACGTAGCCGCTGGCCTATGCTGTACTCAACTCCTTTGGATGAAGCATCAACTTTGTGACTAAGGGTTAGAAATTAAGTCCATGCCTGTATTGTGTGACAATACGAGTGCCATTAACACGGCTAAAAATCCCGTACAGCATTCTCGAACCAAACACATAGAAATTAGGTATCATTTTATTCGAGAATTAGTTGAAGAAGGTCAAATTCAACTCGAATTTGTGCCTACTAATAATCAATGGGCCGATATTTTTACTAAACCTCTAAGTGTTGATCAATTTCTAATCATTCGTCGAGAACTTGGACTAATCCGTTCGAGTGAGATTAATGAATTAAAGTAAAAATATCTTGTGTTGATTCTCTCTTTGAATAAATAGTATTGTTTGAACTTTCTAAACCAAGCTGTAGACGTTCACTAGGCTGTGGGCCTGAGCGGATGAGCCCAATTCCCCCCCCCCCCCCCCCCCCAGCGATTTTCCTATCTCCCTATCAATTCCCGATCAGCAGTTGATCGCGACCTTCCCTCTTCACCTGCCGCTAAATCCCTACGTTCCTTGCTCGATCAAATCTTCCCACTTTTCGTCTCTTCAATAATCTATTCAAGGAAGTCCCCTTCTGTTGACAGAGGATACGGGAGAATCAAAATCTCTCTTGTGTCATTTGCTTCCTCATTTCGGTTGATTCAACCTTCCATTTTCAAAATCCTTTCCTGCGTAAGTCAGAGTGAGATTGATTACTCTGGTCAACCCCCTGATTCTTATAGCAAACGAGAGATTCCCTTGAAAAAGGTACAGCTAGCTTTTCCTCTTCTTTCCCTCCGATCTGCTTCCTAAAATCTCTATCAATCCAAGCTCTATCAATTCTTTCCCAAAGGCAGCATGAAGCTCATGACTGGGGATGCAATAGAATCGGATCTTCACCTATTAATTGACCCTGTTGAATGGGTTGATTTGAACTTCCTTATCTCAAACTTTTTCCAGTTCTGCCCCAGAAACCGTCACTATAAAAGCGTACTCGGTTCCTGTGAAAGCCTTGTCCCAGCATCTCCATCCAAAAGGCAGCAGCAAAATAAAATAAAAAATCCTCTTTCCACTCTTTCATTCACCATGGCACCGAGCAATCCCCAGCTCAATGTGTCTCTTGCCCCAGCTGCCATTTTCACCAATCGAGGCTTCCGAAATGCTGAAACTTACTCCAAGTTCCTTCGTAGCTTCCGTGACCGTGTTCTCCACCCCACGTTCCTTATACCCCCGACGATCTTCAATCGTTATAGGCTGCGGGTCAATGGATATTTACATGACCTCGAGTGGAGCTCACTGCTCAAAAATCAGCTCCTTGATCAATGCCCCGAAGTCGTGAGGATGTTCTACGCCAGTATGCAGTGTGGACCTGGTCGCACTCCGTCGTACTTCACGACTACTGTCTACAATTTCAATGTGACAGTCACCAAAGATATGCTGGCTAATCTGCTACACCTCCCTCACGATGGATACATAGCAGGCTCAATAGAAGAATTCAACAGCTATGGATTTCATCCTATCGACACTATGTCGTATCTCTCTCGAGATTCTGGGAAGTATCAGTCATCCATGTTTTCCATTGAACGGCTGCCTGATGATCTGAAAGCTCTTCAGTTCTACATCACACACATGTTCCTGCCCAGAGAAGCTGAAACAACCACGACTCTCGAAGAATCCGATCTCTGGATTATGTTTAACGCTCGAACCGGCTGCCGGATCAGCTATGCTTCTCTCATGTTTAATCACATGATTAAATATCGAGAAGAGGATTGTGGCGGGAAACTGCCCTTTGGTCCGCAAATCACCACGTTGCTGGCGCTTGTGGGAGTCGATTTGCGTGACAAACTGACTAGCCGTGATGTTCATTCGGATCTGCAAGCACAACATGTGCTGAGACGTACCCTCTCGGGGCTTGGACCCCGTAAACTTGCCAAAGTTCAAGGGGGAGACAAAGCTGCTAAGGCTGGAACAGATTCTGCAGAAGAGGAACATGAAGTGGAAGAGGAGGCGTGGATGAAGGGCAAGACAGCTGAGCTAGCTGCTGCTGAAATCAGCAGCCTTGACAAAGGAAAAGGGGTAGTCGAATGGTCTGCAAAGCGGAAGAAGTCTCGGAGTATGGATCACGTTCAGGAAGGATTAAGGCTGGAAAAGGAAGGTAAAAGCCTTATTCGTGACTTTACCTTGGTCCTGAAGGGAAAAGAGGCAAGTTCCTCTTCCAAGCGAGTCAACAGGGTTCTATTCGTACCGTTGGAGGATGAGGAAGTCGATCCATCTGAATATGCATCATCTCCGGAGTACACCTACTAGGAATCGACTTGCTGTTAGACTTAGGTGGAGTTCCATGAATGCTTGCTTTGATTAACCGGTCTGCTTTTGGTTATTAAGTCTGTTTTGGTTGTTAAGTTTGCTTCAAGGGTTAATTGTAGTTCTGGTTATGATAGAGTCTAGGTAGAGGTGTTGAGATCCTGTGTCAAGTGTCTGGTGGTGTGTCTTATGTTTCCTTGAATAAAATGGACTCCTTTTTGCCTCTAGTATACATTTGAAACTTGCTGCCATGATTTTAGGAATGGACAGGCTGCACCAATGGTGTGTTTAAGTGTGCAGGTTTTGATTACGGTGAGCAACTTAAAGGGTGAACTTTGACAAGGTGAAACAAGCTCTAGGACCTTCTGTTCAGGGGGAGAAAGTCAGCCATTATCAAGCTGAGGGGGAGAATGTTAGCATCAACTTGACAAAGGCAGAACATCTTGACTCAACTTGAAGACCAAGGCAAGATTCAAATATGAAAATCAAGGTGGAAAATCAGTGGCTGTCCCAAAAGCAATTGAGTCAAGTTTATAGACCAAAAAGGAGAAAGATTATAAACTTACCTTACATGAAGATCTCAAGGGAATTCAAATTCTCAACAGCTACACTGCAGCCTATAAAAGGCGATTTGAAGGAAGAGCAAGGCAACCTTTCAAGAGATCAAAAAGCCTAGCTAAGACAAAAGGGGATTTTGTGAGAATAGCTAGATTGATAGGAAAAGGGTTTCTCAAAGGGTTCGGGGAGAATTGCTTTGAGGGTTAGTGTTGGGGAAATACTGGTTACGAGTTGCTGGGGAAGCAATTCGGGTTCTGTGAGTGTGCTTGTGATTAATCAGGTTGAGATTAATCGCAGGGGTTTTTGGGTAGATAGTTTGTAAAACGAAGAACATCAACGCATAATCATAGTGAATCGTCGGAAATCACACAATCGTGATTCTCCGACCGTGGAATAGTCAGTATTGGGATTCTCACTCTCCCAATACTGGAAACCACGTAAAAATCGTGGTCTGTGTTCATTCTCTGCTTTAGCGCTTGGTTCTGTGAATACTTCTGTATATGTTTCAGTGCAGTCTGTGAGTGCAGGGAATTCATACTGAACTGAAGAGGAAGGAAGTCCTGATCGAAGGGCTAATCATCATCGTTCATCTCCTGGATTGAAGAACTAATCGTAGCAGGACAGGTATAAAAGTCTCGCGCTCGACGCAATCAACAAAATTGTACAGGGAAGGTAAAACGAAGACACAATTTTACGTGGTTCTTCCTCATTCTTCCTCAGATTGTGTGAGGCTCGATTTTACGTGGTTCTTCCTCATATCTCTTATTCAACCCAACTAGGAGAGAATTAGTAGGTGCCCTCTATACTTCCTTCCAGGATAAGACGAAATCAAGGCACAAATTTCCCATTCATATCAATAGCGGACCAGCCCTTTCAGAGTGGTTGAAACTGCATTATCAAGAAAGCAAACATGTACACCAAAATAACCACGAGCGAAAACAAAACGTTCAACATGTACAAAAAAGGACGTTAGGAGACGCCCTATAAATAAAGCAACCTCCAACAGCCAAAGAACTAAACCAACACAACAAACAATCCATCTCCATATACTTGGAACTGTATATGATACAAGCACAGACTACAGACAGCGTCATGAAAGAACTGTGTTCAGTTGTTACAAATGAAGACTTGTAAGGAACGGTAACAATGGTGGGTGAGTAAATAATCAGCACTCTAAGATGAAACAACAGCGTTAGAAGGTGCAGATTAGAAAATGCCATGTTCCCTGTCTTTCTCAACACCTAAATTCATTATTTCCTGCGGAATAATCTCTTGAAGAATCCGTGTTTTCGAACTGGAGCTCTCCGGTCTGTATCTGGAATCACCACAGTTCAGGAAAATTTCAATGCAATTCAAAAGCAAATAGAAGTCTGTAAGATTACCCAAAACTCTAGATCAACACTTCTGACTGGAAAGCTCTTCAAAATACGTAACAAACTTAGAACTAAGAAAGAAACATGGAAGGTTACGAAATAAAAAAACCTTTCAATCTGCCAGCCCGATGCAAAGTTTCTTCTGCAATGGGTCTCCACTGTTTTGCACACGAGTAATTAAGCCCAAGACCAACACTGAGGCCTCTCAGAAGATGTACTGTCCTAAGTATCGAAAATAGCTCCTCTGGGAAGCCCTGGTTGAAGCATGAAGCATCACCCAGAAGGAAATTGTCAAGGACTAAAGATAATTGATTCTTTCGACCTCACTTCTCAAACAATGGATTCTATTTGTAGTAGACAAAACATCTACTAGCCCAAGAAAGCAACTTTGATCAACATTTTAAAAGTTAATCATCCATGAACCTACTACTTATGCTCACCTCGACCGAGAACTTCTCTAGTGAAGATCCCTCAGAGAAAGGCTGCAAAGTTGTTACCCCAGGGGGTAATCCTGTATCGAACATTGTTTGTGCCAACTTAAGCATTTCCTGATCTTCGTTTTTGTCACATTTGCTTAAGGTCTTGATGCCGAGATCCCTGCATAGGGAAACCAACGAATAGATGATGCACTTAATCCAGCAGCCAAAGATGGTTCAGAGTTCAGCACAAATAGCAATTAGACATTAGCAAAATTCGCAGAAATGCATATACTGCAGCAAACTTGACATTCAGCCACACATGCAGAAGCCAACAAGCAGACTTCCTGTTTCGTTTTTATTTATGGAACCCTTGCTAGTGCTGGCTGCAGCTCAATATAGGTCTTCACTTTGGTTCTTTTCTCAGCCAATCGATTAAATTCACTTATGTGATTAGAATCATTAAGCCACTAGGTACTTACTTGAAGCTCTTTGTTGCACCTATTGGATCATTATCAGCCATAGCAAGTACCAATTCAGCATATCCAAACCTCAAATTAGCGGGGAGGTCCTTCACTTGCCCATAGTCTAGTAACGCAACCTAAGTTAAATGCAGATGGCAAAAGTTAGACAATTTTCATACTAAACACGAATGGTTCTGTCATCTTGTAGGAGATATGCTGAATATATTTACTGAGATGTTTCCATGACATAAAGAACAAGTATGCAAGAAATCAAGAATTGGGCCCAACGTCAGAAAGGAAAACGATGATAAAGGCGAAAACAATTCAGTTACTTGGGTGACGAACATGAATGGCTTTTCATATTACCAAAAACCCTATTCCCCATTTTCATAATTATCCAGGAAAGGAACTGGGTGAACCATTTAGATAACAATTAGTAAGCATATGGCAAGACTATACTCTCTATCTAGACTCTGCATGCAGTGCACAAAGTGAAAAAATGTCAGATTCCCACTTGCCTCTGACCCTTTACATATCAAAATGTTTCCTGGATGGGGATCTGCATGGAAGAAACCACTCTTAAATATCATCTGCCCGTACGCGAGAGTTAAGCTGTTAAGTATTTTCCTGCACTTAAGAACATTTAAAAGTGTCATGATGTTATTCTCGCATTGGGGAATTCGGGTACCTACAAAAGTTTCGCCAGGGCTAGATCTACCAGAAGTTGAGCAAAATAAAGAAACAAGTCAACTATGCCAAACATATTTCATGAAAAGACTAGTCAAAGATCGATAACAGAAAGCAGGCAGAAGAGAAGTAAAGGACAGGAGAAAATGTCTGCACAAGAGACCCACACTCTCTCTGGGAAGGTGCTTACTGCTTTGCAGCTGCTGCTATCTTACCACCGGGATTTATTCCTCTTTTGGCTATCTCTTCTCCAAGATTTAAAATTGGGACCCCGTCAATGTATTCCATTACCAAGACCCTCCTGCACAAGATGATAAGCATTTCTGTTTAGCAGCACGAAGCAGCAAGAACAATAGCAAGTAGCAACAGCAGATGCTGTTGGTATCTACAGACTACAAAGTCACGGAAAAGATAAAATGCAGACTTTAGGCTAATGCTACATGTCCAGCAATGTTTGGTTCCAAGTTCCAGTACATGTCAAGCTAATGCTACATGTCCAGCAATCTTTGAAGTCATTGTTTGAACTTAATTGCCTTGTAAAACTTGCAGAGATATAAGCAGGTAAATTAGACCATCTAAGAGTTCAAACAACTTAATAGTTTTGTGTCGGACAGCCACTACCTAGCAGAACATATTGATAAGAATTAAGATCAACCCATAATAAACCAACTGCAGGGAAATAATTCACGTTTATGGGACATGAACTTGATGCAGTAAGCCATACCTGGTAACAATATCCTTCAGCACACGGGGCACCAAAACAGGGGACTTCTTGTTATTCGCGTATAGAAAGCAGCGGATTCTATGCATAGCATCAGCCTCTCTTGTGAAGTCAAATTCATATCCAATCTTCAATAATATGGATGAAGCATGTCGTTAAGATCACAGCACCATAAAGAAAACGTAATGATGAATGAAGAATTAGGCAGCCTGCTAACAAAATCCGTCATCATAGGATTCACAAGTTCAACCAGAAAGAGTTCAAGAATCTCCGAATATGTCAAAGAAACATCAAGCTAGAGAAGTTCCATGTTTCCTCCTAATATGAAGGCTGGAAGAGAGGAAGATAACAATGGGCACACCTGCTTCTCCATCTCTTTAGTGATGGAGTATAAATCAAACTTGATATCAGTCTTCTGCATGTAGTAAGCAAATGCTTGCAAGTTACGGATGTCCGTCATCATCAGCTTCTCAATACCAGGATGTTGCACCTAAGATTGAGGCAAAGAAGGAGAGTCATAAAATAACAATCTCACCACCAACGTTACTCGAGACCCCGGGCCAAGGGATGATGAAAAGAAACAACAAGATAGGCAGTGGTTACCTTGACGACGACATCAGTATTATGACCTTTCAATCTCGCCCGATGAACCTAGGGGAAAGAGCATGAAGACATATATGAATTCAATTCAATTCAATTCAATTCCGTCGACCATAAGCAGCCATTTTGGGGAATTGCAAGAAGGAACGAACCTGGGCAATGGAAGCAGAGCCAAGGGGTTGGGGGTCGAATCGATCGAAAACATCATCTAAACCAAGACCTAATTCATTCTCGAGAACAAGTCGGACAGTGGGGAAGGGAGTAGCAGGAGCCTGGTCACACAAAGTAACAAGCCTCCGGACCCATGCAGTGGGAGCCAGGTCAGGCTTCCCGATGATTTGAGCGACCTGGGGTAGCAATGAAGGAAGGAGTGGCAGGAATTGAAGAAGAGACATTGGAGAATAGAAGAAGGGAAGATTGGAATGAATAAGCTACCTTGAGGAAGAAGCCACCGAGATCAGAGCACAAGGAGTAGATATTGTCAGCGGCAAGCTGGTGCTGGCGCTCCCACATTGCTTCCTGGAGGTGGACATCCTTGACGAAGCTCACTCGGACTTGGAAAACCTGCAAATGGGTGGAAGGAAAATGGAAATGAGAAGGGAGGGAGAGAAAGAGAAGCAGGAAGCAGGAAGCAGGAAGGGTATGCTCTTACCTTGTAGCCAGCGTAGATACGGGCGGTGCGAAGCCAGAAATCGAAAGAGCGTTGCCAGGGGATTAGGGAATTGGAAATCCTGTTGTGAATGTGCTTCTTCAAGTCTGGAGTTGGTGGCGGAGGAGGAAGAGGCAGCATTTGACGAAGATGATGATGTGATCGGTTTGGGCCTTCGAATTGAGGAACCACCACCACCACTGATACTTCACTGTTCTTTCTGTTGGAGGAGAGGGGAGAGTCCGCGAGTATGTATTCTTATATCGGGGCGGGGTTTGGCATTAATTGCATGAACTTGTTTGTTTGTTTAATGGCGGGTCTTGAGGCTGAGCTGAGCTAAGCTGACTGTTAATTATAAAATTGAGAGAGAGAGGGAGAGAGAGAGAGAGAGAGAGAGAGAGAGAGAGAGAGAGAGAGAGAGAGAGAAGAGAGAGAGAGAGAGAGAGGACTGGGGAGGAGGATGAACAGAGAAGGAAAGTGTTGGTGGAAGATGGGATTGTGGTTGTATCTTTCTTGTACTGTACTGTTTTGGCTGTGGCTCTGTGGCTGAGAAATCAAACCTAAAAGTCCAACAAAACTATTTGACCCAACTAAGTGCCCACTCGTAGACTTGGAGGAACCCTAAATTCTTAGTAGGCTGAGTTAGTAACTCTATGGATTCTTAGAGTAAGAGTCTTATTTGATATGATTAATTGATATTTGCATCTTGATTTCCAATTTGTAAGAAATCCTCCATTAATTATTGGGCTGAATAATCATGGTATGTATTTACATATCTTGTCCATTAATTTTAAGTTGCACGAGATGTGAAGGTAGAAATTAAAATGTTATTTCCCTAATTTTTATACTTTTTAATTGACTTGTATTCATGGACGGCAACAGATCGAGTCAAGGGCAGATACTGCATATTTATTAATCTATTCATAATAGTTCGGGTGTTACACATACTCATACAAGAATTGGGTACAATATCAAAACTCTACTCATACCCGGTTGGATTTTGGGTATCCACGATTATTCATGGATAATAGTTTATTATGATAACTTCGACCACATGAATACAGTTACACATATACTGACATTACATATGTGAAAAAGTACAACAACTAATTACTACAACAAAGAAAATTAGTTAAAAAGTAATACAATTTCATGAAGATTTTATATATGTATAATAAATATTAAATATATTGAGAAAAATAGTGATACGAGCACGGAACCGGTACTTGTAGTTATCAAAGTCACACATCATAAAACAAGGATTAAAGATAGAGATAAGGCAGAATAGAAGTGCAATCTCACACCTGTGAGAAGGCTCTATCAATATAAAGGTAGAATCTCGACCACAATCAAAGAAAAAAATTTGATTGATACAGAGAAAATTTGCAAGCCTAAACCTCAATGAACCAAGATAAAATCAGTATTCCTTAAAATCTGCCACAAAACTCGAGTTTAAGCCTTTATATAGGCCCAAGAGTATCATCAGAACTTCCCGCCTGACTTCGAGCCACTTGCCTTTCCTTTCTCCCTTGCCCAATTCAGCTCCATTTGTCATTGACCTTCTCGCACTTCAGCTGGCGGCAATGGTTTGAGTACAAACTTCCGATCTCCTTGCTTGAACCGGTAGCTATTATGTCTCCCATCGTGAATAACTCCACGATCATATTGCCATGAACGACACAATAAGAGATGAGCAACTTGCATTGGGGCAACATCACATTAGACTTCATCTGCATACTCACCAGTCTAGAATAGAACCTTGGTCTTCTTGTTAACCTTGATAGCTCCATAGTCGTTCAACCACTGAAGGTTGTAAGGGTGTGGATGCTTAACGGTACTCAGTCCTAACTTCTTAACTGCATTAAGACTCACTACATTGGTGCAACTAACACCATCGATCAACACAAACAACAACTTTCCATCTATCATGCATCAGGTATGAAATAGATTATCTCGTTGTTCTTGTTCAACTAGAGATTCAAGGGAGAGCACTCTATAATTTACTCCAAGAAACTTACCTGTTGGCGGGATTTCATCAGTGATGTGCTCATCAATATCAACATAATCATTAGAATCAGATTGATTCCTTTCCCCATTGGCTTCTCTTCATACTTCTCAGAAAAGTATTCTCCATCTCGTACGACCAAAGTCTTCTTGTTGGGGCATGGTTTGCTTTGTGACATCGACCTAGACATTTGAAGTATTGGATGCTTCCAATTGATCCTTTGGGCCTAGATTGAACAAAAGGAGCAGTGTTTCTCTCTACTGGCTTGACTCCTTCTGGCTTGAAATGATTCATAACGATCTCACACATGTTCTCTGCAACTGGTTTAGTTAAAGGTGAATACCTTCTTCCATAGCTGACTTTCATCTGCTTTTTCCACGTCAATGGCTAGGTGAACCACTTCCTCCAGCTCCACAAATTGACGAAGCTAAACTTTGTGCCCAATCTCTTTATTGAGACCTTGTAGAAACCGAGCGATCGTTGCTTCTTTATCCCCCTTCACATCTGCCTTCATCAAGTGCAATTAAAGCTCTTTGAAGTACTCATCAACAGAGCGTGCTCCTTAGCAAATTCCCTACAAGGAATCATGAAGTTCTCTCTAATAAAAAAGAGGCAAGAATCAATCAAGCATCAGAACTCTCAATTCTTTCCAAGTAGAGACAGCATGCTACATATTTCTTCTGCATCGCTGTATCGCAGCTAACCTTGTTCCCACTAAGCGGCTGCATAATCCGTAAACTCATAGGTGACTACCAGAACTTTTTGATTCTCCAGGTAAGGATTGCACTAAAAGAACAAGATCATCTTCCTCGCCCAATCAAGGTAAGCTGAAGCGCTGTTGGTTCCTTGAAACAGAGGAATACCATTTTGATTCCTCGAATCGAATCAACGCCATAATATGTTGGTCTTCCACCATAATCATGGTAATCATCTTCATAATCAATAAATTGAGTTCGGTACTGGGTGATTACCTGACGATGATGACCCATTTGTTGACACCTCTGCATAGCCAATCTGGGGTTGATCATTCTAAGCTCATTATGCTCTAGGTCTCTCTCGATTCTCGGCTCCAGTCTGAGCATCAACAACTACTGGATTATCTAGTGGATAACCCACTAGTTGCGTTTCCAACTTGATGATTAGGGTATCCAGATGCTTGTTGGTTTCAACGAGCTAAGTTTTGATAACTTCCTATTGGGTTTGAAGCAAAGCTTCCATTGGAGACATCTGTGTTGCAAGCTGTTTCATGGCTTCTGCAAGGTTTGACTCCATGGTTCTCTCTTCGGATGAGATTTCCTCATCTGACAAGCAATCCTCCTCCGCAATACGTTTTGCTATGGGGTCTTTTGATCTCTTACAAGAAGTAACAGGTCCTCTCACCTTTGTTCTCGCTACTATGTTGAACCGGGCTCTGATACCACTTGATACGAGCATGAAAGGTAATACCCGTACTTATCAAAGTCACACATCCTAAAAAAAGGATTAAAGATAGGGATAAGGCGGAATTGAAGTGAGATCTCGCACATGGGTAGAATCTTATGCATAATTAAAGTGAAAATTTGATTGATACGGAGAAAATTCACAAGACTAAATCTCAATGAACCAAGATAAAATCAATACTCTTCAAAATCTGCCACAAAACTTGAGTTGAAGCCTTTATATAGGCCAAAGAAACAAAACTAATGAAAACCTCGAAAAGGAAAAGAACCCTAAACAGGCCGACTCGACATCAGAAATGAAAATCCCCAGCCATTTCGGGTTAAGAAGATGCGAAAGCGCCTACAAAACGTAAATTCACTCGTCAACCCCGATCCCCGGTCAGGGATTTAACCCAACTGACCGGGGGTCATTTGATCGCGCGTGCGTGATCGAGTTTTAAATTTATAAGTCAATACGCACTTTCTATTCAATCATAACTAAGCCAAGCATAACCTAGATAGGGTTGTAGTAAAGTGGCTCGGTCATTTTTCAAGGGAACTTTAAACTTACTATTATTTCACTTCGAACTACTATCTAATTGAATCAGAAGTTTGGTGAAGATCTAACCTATCCTACTCCTAAACAACCAACCAAGTGGTTGGGAGAACGCTAGAGATGAGACGGTTGCCTAGGGTTGAATCCTCCTAGATATGGTTGTCATGTAGGGTTAAGAGAATGTGGTGAGAGCTATTTTCTATGGGCTTTCGTGGTTATCCACACGCTTCCAGGTACGCCTCCCCTAAACCCATGTTAGTCACCTCGATCTAGCCTATCGTATCTGGGGCTTTAAGAACATAGCTCATTTCAATGGGTACTACCCACCATCCACACCGAGGTTTCACCCCGGTTTCTATCTAGGAAGGCATTCTTATGGTATGGGTACGGTCGCCTCGACGACCATAAGATATCATTCATTCATCTAGCCCGAAATTGACCGAGGGCGCATACCCGTCTAACGCTAAAACTCCATACCCAACGTAGAAGCTCAAGTAGGCTAGTAGAGAAGATTAGGGCGGCTTACCCAAGCACAATTTAAGCTAGAGAGGTGATAACGATGTAATTGCACGTATTTGCACCCCTAATTCTTATCCGTTTGAGAGGCATGGTCGTGTATTTTGGCCTATTTTACGCCGGCTTATGCTATTTTGTCATATTTCAGGTCCCAGGCGTCAAAGGAAAGGCTAAGCACGAGTTTCGGGGCATTCAGAAGTCATTTCGTCAAGCTGGAGCCAAAACACAGGCACACCTAAAACAGAACACGGCCGTGTTCTGTGGCCGTGCTTTTACTGCCGAGAGCTAATTGAGTTTGGCAAATTCAAGCCAAAACACGGGCTGAAAGCACGGCCGTGTTCACCCAAAGCACGGCCGTGTTTCTTTCAACAGGTGGCCGTGTAATTAATCCTAGCCAAAGCACGGGCGGGCTGAGGCATTACACGGCCGTGCCCTCGACCGTGCTTTGGCCACTGATGCCCTTTTAAGAAGATTTTCAGCCAAAGAGAAGGGGATTCGAGTTTTAGAGAGAGAGATCAGTTCCTAGAGAGAGAAAGCGACGAACAAGAGTCTCCAAGCGCCCTAGCTTGATCTTCAACACCATTGGAGGCCAGTTTGAGCTTGGAGAAGTGCCGATCAACGTCCAGGAGCAGGAATCCATCCTTCACAGTATGAATTCCGCATCTGATTCTGCTTTTGCTTCTTTCTCCATGGAGTAGTTCTCCCATTCATCTGGGTATGGAGAACCCTAGATTTGTATGTTAGGCTTTGATTGTATGAACCCAAGTATTGATTCTATGATTTGATTATATTCGATTGAGGTTTGAATGATTGAATGACTTGAATCCTGATCAAATTCCTGTTGTTTCTGCTTTAACCTAGAATGAGAATATCTGCCTAGATTGATAGAGCATCCTTAATTGAAGGTAGGGAGTTGGTGACTTTAGTCGAGGAGCCAACTCACTATTCTGTACTGGATTTACTCCGGTAGTGGAGGTTTTGTTCATAGGGCCTCAATCTGTTTACTCCGGTGGAGGTTAGTCGCCCGCTAGAGACTCAGATTGAGAGGGTCTGAAGACCTTTAGTCGAGACTTCAGGCTGTTTAAGAACCTTCCGCAGTATAACTATCATAGAAACTGAACTTGGTAATTACAATCCGGCTTAACTGCGGTCTAGGGGGAACCATATTCGGGTGACCTCTCTTAACCTGAATACAACCGTTTACTTGCTTTGTTAGTTTGATAGTTTAGACTTGCTTTCCAGTTTCATTGCTAGATAACAAGAATTCACTGAGTAGTCATCAGATCTAGGACCCGGGTTGATAATAAAACCTAAACCTGCTATACTACGCTTTAGGAAGTGGTTTCACTTGGCCAATTCCTGGAGTGACAGTAGAAGTGAGTCAAGTTTTTGGCGCCGTTGCCGGGGACGACTAGGTTGTTGAAGAAAAGTGATTTCTGTTAATTTAGCTTTTCTTTTTGCTTTATTTTCTTTGTCCCACTTGTGCCTTCACGGGTTTGCTTGCTTGAGTGTGTGCAGGTAGTGCATGACCCGTAGCCAGTCAGGAGGTTTACTGCCGTTGAATCCAGAGATTGATTGCACCTGTCGCCAGCTCCGGAGACAACAGCGAGCTAGACTGGCTACGGAAGAGCGCATAGACGGCCACCTGAGTAGCGATTCTGAAGAAGAGCACGAGATGGACGGAGACTACAATCACCACCAGGGGAATCCGCAGCAGGTTCCCCCGGTGAATCAGGTCCTGGGGAACAACCCCATACCCCAGGATCATGGGGTTCATCATCCACCGCAGCCGGGTCCCACCTTGGAGTACTACTACACTCCTCGGATTGCTGACATCCGCCCGGTCATCCTCTACCCGCCTATTCCAGCAAATAACTTCGAGATCAAGCCATGCTGGATTCAGCTCATTACATCCTCTATCCAGTTCCATGGCTTGAAGGATGAGGAGGCCAGGGTGCATCTTTCCCGTTTTCTGCAGCTGACAAACGGGTTCAAGCTGAATGGTGTCCCGGATGATGCAATCCGCCTTTATCTCTTCCCCCATTCTCTGGCGGGGAATGCTAAGAGGTGGTTGGAGACCCAGCCCCCATTGTCCATCACCTCTTGGGACGATCTGGCTGACAAATTCGTGCACAGGTACTATCCGGCATCGAAGACTACAAAGATCCAGCGGGAGATCACTCACTTCCGCCAAGAGCCAGATGAGTCACTTCGTGATGCATGGGAGCGGTACATGGGTTATTTCTGGCAGTGTCCCCATCATGGCTTCAGTGATGCATTCACAGTGGGGAACTTCTACAGTGCTCTCTCCCCAAATAGCCAGAGGGTGATTGAGTCTTTATGCCCAGGAGGGGATATTCTTACTAAGACTCCACCCGAGCTGAACCAGATGATCAGTACTTTGGCTGCCAGAGATCATTCCTGGGGACAGAGCAGCAGAGGCAGACAGTCCCGGGACCGTGGTGTGCACGCCATGGAGACCAGATCCGGGCTCGAGCAGCAGGTAGCTGAGCTAGTGCAGACATTGAAGCAGCCCAACAGTCTTATTCCGGGCAGAGGTTTGGCTACACCTCCAGTTGCTCAATGTCAGTGGTGTGAGAGCTCGAATCACCTAGTGGAGGACTGCCAGGCTTTGAGGGAGCCTACCACTCCCCAAGAGCAGTTGGACTTCATCGCCAATGCTCGGCGCCTCGACCCGTACAGCAACACATATAATGAGGGGTGGCGCCAGCATCCCAACTTCGCCTGGAACAGCAACACCACTAAATCACATGGTTTCCCAGCACCAGCAGGTGGTTTTCAGCAGAGGCAGCCCTTCCAGGCTCGACAGGGGCCAGCCCCACAGCAGCAGCCCTACCAGCCTAGGCAGGGGCAACCATGCCAGCAGCCCCAGCGCCAGTTTGCCGAGCCAGCAGCAGCTCCGGCCCTAGATGACCGGATGACAAAGCTGGAAAATATTCTAGCTTCATTCATGACTAGCACTCAGGCTGCTATCACGTCACTAGAGGCAGGTCAGCGGAACCAGGGTGCCATTTTGCAGGATCTGCAGACCCAGGTGGGCATCTTGGCTCGCCAAAACACTACCAGGGCACCGGGGACTCTGCCTGCCACCACTATCCCGAATCCTCGGGATCCTCACCAGCTCCAGCAGCTGGATGCCATTTTTACCAGGAGCGGTAAGACCATATCTGCTGATCCTGTCCCGGCCAAACAGGAGGAACCACTACCTGCTTCAGCACTTCCAGCCGACGATGCAGAAGTGCGGGTGGAGAAGGAAGCCCCTGCTCCCAAGCCACAACCAGTGGTTAAGGAGCATGCACCCCAGCTTCCCTTCCCCACTCGCCTACACAAATACAATTTGGAGACTGAGTTTGCCAAGTTTATGGCAATGTTGAAGCAGCTCAACATCAGCATACCGTTCGTGGAGGCACTGTCGAAGATGCCCAAGTATGCCAAGTTCATGAAAGATCTCCTCACCAACAAGAAGAAACTTGGGGATCTTTCGACAGTGATGCTCAGTGAGGAGTGTTCTGCTATCCTGCAGAACAAGCTGCCAGAGAAGCGAAAAGACCCAGGGAGTTTTACTATCCCTCTTACTATTGGCAGCATGCATGTAGGCAAGTCCTTGGCGGACCTAGGCGCTAGCATAAATGTCATGCCATATAAGTTGTATAAAAAGCTAGACCTAGGTGAACTTAGCCCTACTAGGATGAGCATTCAGCTAGCTGATCGTTCCATTGTGCATCCTAGGGGAATCATAGAGGATCTACTTGTCAAGGTCGGTGCATTCACATATCCTGTTGATTTTGTTATTCTTGATATACATGAGGATGTGGATGTGCCTTTGATTCTGGGTAGACCATTTCTTGCCACTGCCAAGGCACTTATTGATGTGCATGATGGTAAACTGATCCTGCGTGCTGGGAATGAACAGGCTACTTTTTCTGTGACTGAGTTTGATCACTGTGCTATGATTGCTGTCACACCTGTGCATGCCATTTCTGATCAGGTACACGAGCCTGTCGTGTATCCTTCTGCACCTCTTATTTTGAAGGACCCGCCTATCATTCCTTCGCTGCCACTCCATCCAGCCTCGCCTCCGAACAAAAAGATCAAGGAGGAGTGGCGGCCGAAGCATCAGGTTGCTAAGCCTGCACGGAAGAAGGGTGGAGACCACTATGAGCTGGTCCCACCTTCTGCACCACGACCACCCTGGCCGTCCGGGTACTCACTCGCCTGCATCTTGCCAGATGGGCAGGTCGAGCTGACTGATGATGGTGGTCGCATCCGTCGGGTGCATGGCCACACCCTGAAGCTGTACCTCAAGAGCGACGTGGATCCGCTCTTGGAGGCACCTGTTCCTTCACCTCCCTGAGTATCAACCATGGGCGTCCAGCTAAAAGACGGTAAAGAAGCGCTCATGGGGAGGCAACCCCACCACGGTTTGACTTTCTTTCTTGTGTTTTGAGTCGGATTGTAACCCGGTTTGGGTTTGGTTTGTTTTCTTTTGTTCTGGATGGTGTATTATTGGGCTGACATTGGACCTAACATATTGTGTTTGAGATCTTTTGCTCCCCTTTAGCTGTGCTTTGTTCCAGACTGGTCTCTCTCCAGGCCACTTCACTCCGACTGGTCCGCTTCCAGTCTCCTGTAGTCCGTGTATATCGGTAACATCGTTCTCCTTTTCCTTCCCTCTTCTCCATTGAGGGCAATGTCGATCTTAAGTGTGGGGGGATGTTTATCTTTTGACTGCATTAGATCTGTTTGTGTGCTTCGAGCCTAGTCCACTGTCCAAATTTTTAAATTTGAGGGCTCCAAGTACGTGTTTCCGTGCAATTGCCTACTCAGTATGCTTTGAATTGACAGTCTTTATAGTAATATGCAACCTAGGGAGGTAGTGTAGCACTATGGAGGATGTTGATGCATTTAAGAAGTCTCATTTCTTCTTCATATTGTGTTGGTTGATTGAGTGAATTAGTGATCTTAGGACCTTTGAATTGTGTGGTGTTGTGGACTCTCTACCTGTCATGGACTCTTGTTTCATGTTTTGAGTTTAACAGGTGCTCGAAAATGTGCTTCAAAATAACGTCTCCCGTGCGAATAGGGCGAAAGTGTGTAAGGGGAGACGAGAATTCGTTCCCAATTTCCACCTACTACCTCCAGCCCCCTTACATGTCTTTCCCCCGCACGAGGCTCGAGACATCCGCTCCTGGCATGGCCGATAAGAGCAAGTTGGGACCCTTAAAAAAAAGAGAAGAAGAAATAACAGAAAACAAGCAAAACAGAAAGAAAAGGGGTTCCAACCATCTTCAAGAAGAAAATAGAGCACCTTGAAAAATGTGAGTCCATGATCCTTTTTTTTGAGAATCTCTTCATCCACAATTCATTTGTCCTCTGTTCACTATTTGCCATGATCCCGACTCGATACTAGTGCTCTCGCCGAAGAAGCTATGAGATGACTTGTGCGTCGGTTGACCTCGTAAGTTGCTAAATGATCTAGGAAGTCCTCTACCTACGATCTGGGTTGTTTGTTACTATAGAGGTCTAGAGAGTTGCATTGGTTTGAGTTAGGTTTGCTTGGGGACAAGCAAACGGTTAAGTGTGGGGGAATTTAACGATGTAATTGCACGTATTTGCACCCCTAATTCTTATCCGTTTGAGAGGCATGGTCGTGTATTTTGGCCTATTTTACGCCGGGTTGTGCTATTTTGTCATATATCAGGTCCAAGGCGTCAAAGGAAAGGCTAAGCACGAGTTTCGGGGCATTCAGAAGTCATTTCGTCAAGCTGGAGCCAAAACACGGGCACACCTAAAACAGAACACGACCGTGTTCTGTGGCCGTGCTTTTACTGCCGAGAGCTAATTGAGTTTGGCAAATTCAAGCCAAAACACGGGCTGAAAGCACGACTGTGTTCACCCAAAGCACGGCCGTGTCCTCTCCAAAGCACGACCGTGTTTCTTCCAACAGGTGGCCGTATAATTAACCCTAGCCAAAGCACGGTCGGGCTGAGGCATTACACGGCCGTGCCCTCGACCGTGCTTTGGCCCCTGATGCCCTTTTAAGCAGATTTTCAGCCAAAGAGAAGGGGATTCGAGTTTTAGAGAGAGATCAGTTCCTAGAGAGAGAAAGCGACGAACAAGAGTCTCCAAGCGCCCTAGCTTGATCTTCAACACCATTGGAGGCCAGTTTGAGCTTGGAGAAGTGCCGATCAACGTCCAGGAGCAGGAATCCATCCTTCACAGTATGAATTCCGCATATGATTCTGCTTTTGCTTCTTTCTCCATGGAGTAGTTCTCCCATTCATCTGGGTATGGAGAACCCTAGATTTGTATGTTAGGCTTTGATTGTATGAACCCAAGTATTGATTCTATGATTTGATTATATTCGATTGAGGTTTGAATGATTGAATGACTTGAATCCTGATCAAATTCCTGTTGTTTCTGCTTTAACCTAGAATGAGAATATCTGCCTAGATTGATAGAGCATCCTTAATTGAAGGTAGGGAGTTGGTGACTTTAGTCGAGGAGCCAACTCACTATTCTGTACTGGATTTACTCCGGTAGTGGAGGTTTTGTTCATAGGGCCTCAATCTGTTTAATTCGGTGGAGGTTAGTCGCCCGCTAGAGACTCAGATTGAGAGGGTCTGAAGACCTTTAGTCGAGACTTCAGGCTGTTTAAGAACCTTCCGCAGTATAACTATCATAGAAACTGAACTTGGTAATTACAATCCGGCTTAACTGCAGTCTAGGGGGAACCATATCCGGGTGACCTCTCTTAACCTGAATACAACCGTTTACTTGCTTTGTTAGTTTGATAGTTTAGACTTGCTTTCCAGTTTTATTGCTAGATAACAAGAATTCACTGAGTAGTCATCAGATCTAGGACCCGGGTTGATAATAAAACCTAAACCCGCTATACTACGCTTTAGGAAGTGGTTTCACTTGGCCAATTCCTAGAGTGACAGTAGAAGTGAGTCAAGAGGCATTCAAATCAACTAGGTAAACACATTCATACAAAATCCATTCATTCACAACCTATAAACTAGGGCTCATCTTCCCTAAACAACCATTCGAGATTCAAGTCATAGAGAGAGAATGAAAACACAAACTAGAAGAGGTAATTTTTCCAAATACCACTAAAAACAATTATACAAAAATCATTAATTTTTGAAAAATTCCAAAAATACCACACTTTTCTAAAAACCACTTGGGAAGGGCGCGGTTTTTGGTGAAAACCACATCCAGGCGAGGCGGTCTGATATTTCTCATAACTTTTCGAGATCTTGCAAGCCGCAAACCGCCTTCTTCCTGAAAAAACGTTGTTTGCTACTCCGAACGAGCAACTTTTTGATTTTGCCAAACTTTGACCGTCCAGAAATTTGTGCTCCGCACGGCGAACGTCATGATTTTTTTTATTTCGCATAAATTTTGAAGGACTACAAATTTTAATAGGAAGGAATTTTCATAATAGGAATTATTTTTGGATATACTGTATTTTCGAAAGAACTGTACCTTTATTTTTCACAAATCCACGTACATTATGAAATTATGGTTATGATAAAAGTTAAAGTCCTTAAAAGTTATGCAGAATAAAAAAATTCATGACGTTCGAAGTGCGAAGCCCAAAGGTATGGTCATCCAAAGTTTGGCAAAATAAAAAAATTGTTTTTTCAGAATAGTAAACAACATTTTTTGGGACTAAGGAGGGACCACATCGCCTATGACAGTTTGTGGCTTGCAAGATCTCAAAAATTTATGCAGAATCAATTTTTTTTTTCTACGATCGGATACTCGAGCTCAAACTTACGTTCGTTTGAAGTTTCGGCAGAGGTTAGGAATTGATCAAAAAAAGGTGAAAACCGCCCGGTGGTGGGGCGGTTTTCACCTTTACTGCTCTTCCCCCCAGCGGTTTAACATACCGCCCCGCCCTTGATGCGGGTTTCCGCAAAAATCGCGCCCACCCCAAGCGGTTTTCGAAAAAGTGTGGTATTTTTGGAAATTTTCGGAAATTGGTGGTATTTTTGGAAATTTTTTTATTTAGTGGTATTTCTAGAAAAAATTCCTAGAAGAGAGGGAGTGATGTAATCAATTTTCTTCTCCTTGCTTGCAACTTCTTCTTGCTCCTTGGGTGGATTGGATCTTCAATTAACCTCTCCCAAGGTGTTTCCCACTCTAAAAACAACCCAAAACCCTAACTTTCTCACTCTTGGTCGGCTTTCCCTTGAAAAGTGCAGCAAGAGGGGTATTTATAGAAATCTGATGGCGGTCAAGGCCTCTAAGGCTTGACCCGACGGGGCCGTGAGCAGGCCGTAATTTGCCGGGAAGTCTCCGAATCGCCCGAAATAACGCGTTTTGACTCTGTCTTTAATCTCCGAGATTGCGGCCTCCTTCATAAGATTACGGTCGTGATCTTTTGGTCTCGGGGACGATCTTTCTCGCGGTCAAAATGCACCATGTCCGCGATTCGACTGGGGAAACTTTATGCCTTCTTCTTGGTCGCCTATTGAAGTTTGCGGCTACAGTTCATGATCGCGATCTTCAGGCTGCGAACATGGTCACGGCCTAATGGTCACGGTCGTGACGTGTGGTTGTGACCAATGCCTCTTCTCCCCTTCTTGCTCCTATGCTTCCCAATCATGCTCGGATGAAATCCAATCGATTCCCGATCAATCCCAGATGAATATAAGACCTGGAATTTCATCATAAACAATAGGAAAAGCATAAAATGAGACCAAGTGGTGTCGATTCCCCTATGAAAATCTTCATATCAAGAATACTTATGCCAAAACGGATGTTTTGCAAATAGGAATAATATAGACATAAATAACTTGATATGTGGCCTAGACACGATGATTTAATATTCAAATGCCTAAAGAATAAGGGCTAAGTATTTTAGGTGTTATCAAACTCCCCCACACTTAAGCGTTTACTTATCCCCAAGCAAACCTACTCAAACTCACACAACTTGCAAGATAAATCACAATGTGACAAGCCAAAACACAACACCAAACTGCGACCAAGTGTAATCGCAGTCCGGGAATGCAGTAAAATGGCAAGTTCTATTATCAACCCGGGGTCTAGATCTACTGCTTACTCCGTGAGTATCTATTATCTAGCCAACTAAGTTAAGTGTTTGTTGTTTTAAGCAAAAGCATAAAGAAAGCTGGAATTGGTACGGTTTTCTCAAGCAAAGAAGAGTCACTCGGGAATGAGTCCCCCTAGATCCTTAGTTAGGTTTCAATTGTAATTTCCCTGGGTTGATTTACTGTTGATTAGACTGCGGAAGATCCGACAGTAGCTTGGAATCTCTTAAGCTGACCAAGCCCTCTCAGCCTAACTACCCGGCAGACGACTAGTCTTCACCGGGATAGAAAGCTGAAGCGATAAGCACAGAACTCCACTACTGGAATTGGATTCCAGTACAAAGCAGTAAACTGGCTAACTCTCGTATAGCCAATCTCCTACTACCGAATGATGAGGCTCTAACAACCTAATCAGATTCTATCTATCTCAGGTTGCAGCAGAAATCAGGAAAAGCTGACCAGACTTCAATTGACTCAATAAACATGCATCATTCGATTAAAACCAAGCAGTAATATCATCCCAAGTCATTACAATCAAATCCCTAACACAAAGAACTAGGGTTCTTCATACCCAAGTGAGAGAAGGTTTCTACTCCATAGAGAGAGAAGGGAAAACAGAATACAAAGCAGTCATACTCATATCAATGGGAAGAATCTGCTCTGGGATGATGATTTCCACTCCTATGACGATCTCCAAGCTCGATTTGATGAAACCCAGCTCCAAGATAGCTTCTAGGATGTGTTCTTTGTACTTTCTCTCTCTAGGGCTCTATTTTTGCTCTAAAAATCCGATTTCCTCACTTGCGGCCCGAAATTGGGTAAAAACCAGAAATTCCCGACTCACACGGGCGGGGCCACACGGCCGTGTGGCATACCCAGTTGCCCGTGTGAGGTCAAAACGCCGCGTTCCAAATTATTGGATTTCAGGCTTCTTACACGGCCAGGGTCACACGGCCGTGTAGCTCACCCAGCCTGGCCGTGTGAAGCCTCGCAGAATTCCACACGGCCAAAGTGCAACTTCACACGGCCGTGTGAATATCAGGGCTGGCCGTGTGAAGGCTCGCACAATCCCACACAGCCAAATTGGTCACTTGCACGGCCGTGTGGGTTGTGAGGTTGCCTGTGTGGCTTCCATTTTGACTTGCCTCGCGCCCGATCTTCGTCCAGTCGACCCCGAACTCGCTCCTAAACCTTCATTCACTTGCTAGGACCTGAAATATCACCAACAAACACAACCTAGCGTGAAATCGGCCTAA